TGGCTGGAGCTTCCATAAGGATTTGAAGTGAGTTACTCACAGCTGCTAGAGAAAAGTATGTGGTGTTTCTTGATAGGCTAGATGCTAGAGTTTATTTATGACTCAGTGAAAAAGGCGTATATTTTGGTGTGTGGATTTCATTATTTTCCCGTTGTTTGCATTTTGTTTCAGTTCGTGAAGATACGCTATGCTGATAAGATGGCTCATTCAAAACCATTTCAGACTATCGAAGAAGCATTGGAATATTTATATACATTATCAGATGATGAAGAGTGTAATGATATTTGTCAACTGCCTCCAGAAGAAAATGGATGTTTGACAGATGAGGAAGATGTAAATGAAGATATTTTTTAGCCTGTTCTGCCAGCAGATGTATGTGGAAAAATCGAAATTTCTAATCAAATAGATGATGATGAAATATCTCAAGAAATTTCATTCGATGCTCAAGAACCTTCATCTTCAAAGTGGAGGAAGAATTTGAAGCGAAAACTAAATGCGAAAGAGAAAAACATTGAACGTCGGTGGGGGGGGGGGATTTTAATTTTAACAAAATTCTAAAAACTGGCAGCATTGAAAATATTTGCAAAGAGTTTCCTGAACTAGTTACTTTATCTCCAGTTAAGATTTTTCACAAGCTCCTAACTAGAAAATATTTGCTGCATTTAGCAAATATGACAGGTCTTTACACAATGCAGAAAGAAATTTTAGCTGTAGATGAAAACGATATTGGACAGTTTTTTGGATAAGTGTTGTTTAGCGGGTTTCATCGAGTACCCGGCGAAGATTTATACTGGAGCACTCAAGAAGATTTATCTGTCCCAATAGTTTCTTCTGTTATGCCAAGAAATAGATTTCGAAAACTGAAAAAATATTTTCATATTATAAATAATACCAAGTTGGCATTAGGAGGTAAAACAGGAAATGTTTCTCCTTTTTATGAAGAACTGGAAAAAAACTTTCAATAGTTCGGTGTCTTCTATTCCTGCAGTGGGAAATTTTGTATGGAGATTATTTGTTACTTATTTCTACAACTCTTTTTCTTGTTTCAGTATAAATTGCTAACAATTAATGTAAAATTCTTGCTTATCAACTATGTAATTTTTGTTTTAATTTATTATGAAATCTTTTTTCTGTGGAAGCTTCATATCTTCTCCTAAGAAATTTTGGTGGAGTAGCTTTGCGGTTATAAAGGGATAGGCTCCCTATTTTTCTGCTTAATCTATGTTACTTCTGAATAACGTTGACAAATTCACTTGCTAATGCTGAAAAAATGCAGACAAAAATGAAGCTTCGAATTAAAATGTCGATAATCCTGTTTTACAAGAATCATGTAAAAAATACCAACTGTTTCCTGCCAATGTTCCATTTATGGAACATGTTATAAATCATTAAAAAATTTTTTTCATTTTTTCTCTTTTTTTTTCATAGTTCTTATATTTGAGTTTTAAATCGATTTTTCACAACAAAACGTTTATTTTACTTTCTCACCATAGTTTGGCATGTAAAAGGTTAATGCCATGTATGTTATTATTAGATTTGAACTCACTGCTATATCTTTTGGGTTCTACTTATAAGTAAAAGTTTTAAAACACATGTCTGTAAATAATAAGCAATACTCTGCTTAAGTTGCCCTTGGCCTATCTCTTACTGTGTAGATGATACAGTCGCAGTCGTCTCATAGTAGGAGGGGCTTAGAAATAAGGTGTATCTAAATTTTGTTATGTAATAGAATGAAAGAAATTCTTAAAAACAGCAAAGCACATTTAGACACGGCTGAAAGAGAGTGTTTCAATGGTAAAGCACATTTAGCTTAGAAAGGACGCACGGCTTATAGAGAGAGTTAAGCCAAACCTGCAGTGGTTAAGCACATTCGGCTTACTAACTTCCGCCTATTAATCGCACATCAATGCACAACCCCCTTTATTTGACTTATTACGTTAATTTATATTTGAACGGAACACAAATTTTGAATGCTTCCTTCAACTGAAGATATCATTCAGAATAGTTTAATGCATAGTCTTCAACTATGGAGTTAAAATAATATGATATTCGAAAGAAATTAATTAAATTAATGGCGTTTCGAATACTAGAATGCCATGATAACTGATAACTAAATGATACATTTTTCAAGTTTCTTTACTTTTTTAAATATAGACTCTACTATGCATGCATATATCTGATCAATAAATATCGTATATAAAGAAGGAAATACGTATTATCCAAAATAAAAAAATGTTGTGTGTAGCAGATTTGGCAGAAGTGTGGCAGAGGAGTAGCGCCATCTTGCGGTCAATAGAAATTTCATGGAGGCCACCGAAAACAAAAAGGAATATTTTCACACTAGCAGGCCTTGGTCTAATCCTGAACGGCAGTTTTAGTTATGGTAAAGCTGTTGTGTGACTTTACATGAAATAAAGTTAATGCTTGCTTCAGATATATTATTATTGATAACATTGCTGTGTAACGACCACTATTTGTGTGAAATAAAGTGGTACATTTTAATTTGAGTTGAACTGATCTGAACTTGCCCCAAGAAATGCAGACCTTCTTGATATTCTTCTGACAAATACTTCAATCCCTATTTATACTGAAGTAAAGCACGAATTGAGCTTCTGACCATATATCGCTCATTGCTTACCTAGGCAGGCACTACTTAAAGAGGCAGAAAATGAAAATGATCCGCACGACTGACTGGAATAAGTTCCAGAAGTTTCTCAGTCAGAATCCGCCCATCTTTGATACTCTGAACTCGCGGAAAGATATAGATGATGCAGTTGATACCCTCACTGATTCAATCAATAATGCTATTGAAAATGCATCTAGACACGTGAGAAGAAATAATAACGCTGGCATTCTGCCACAGGAAATTAGAGAGATGATTAAGGGCCGAAATAGGATGAAGAAAGATTGGCACCTTACATGGAGCCCTCACGTTAAAAGAGATATGAACAAATTAAATAAATTAATTAAAAAGAAATATATGAGCATAAGAGAGATGTATGGGAGGAAAAAATTCAGAATCTTGGTCCGAATGATGGCACCCTCTGGACGTTCATGCGTAACTTGAAAAGGCAGTGTACATGCAATAAGCCGATTTATACTGAAAACTCTGTTGCTCTCAATAATAAAGACAAATCGACGGTCCTTGCGGACCATTTAGAAGAGCAGTTCAGACCTAACATGACGCCCATGGACATTAATTTTGTCAATGAGGCATGCTACTTTGTTAGAGATTGGCTTAATGCCCACACCGCTAAGAGGTACATGGCCACTGCTAACCCCAGTGAGATCAAAGAAATCACAAAGAAGCTTAAAGTCAAAAAGGCCCCTGGCATAGACGGTATTAATAATCACGCACTTAGAAATCTGCCCTGCAATGTTGTGACAAAATTCACGAGCATTATCAATGCGTGTCTTAGTCAATGCTATTTTCCCACAAAGTGGAAAATCGCAAAAGTTATTTTATTGCCTAAGCCCGGCAAGGATAACACTAAGCCAGATGGGTACAGACCCATTAGCTTGCTTCCGGGACTAGGAAAGATCTTTGAGAGAATAATCTACAGCAGATTGAAGAACTATATTGAATTACTGCCTCCGGAACAATTTGGTTTCCGGAGAAAGCTTTCAACTACGAAGCAGCTGGTTCGGCTCGTCGAGTTTTGTGGGGATGCGCTCCACAAGAAACAAAATGTCGCCTTACTCATGCTAGACGTGGCGAAGGCATTCGACCGAATCTGGCATGAGGGGCTTATTTATAAACTTATAAATCTCCCTATGGATAGAGAGCTGATTCAGCTAATTATGTCTTTCATCACTAATAGGAAATTCACTGTGGCTATTGGAAAGGACATCTTCAGTTTACGCACCATGAATGCAGGCGTCCCACATGGGTCCATTTTAGGGCCCGTCCTGTATTTATTTTATGTTCATGACTTCCCTAGCGCTCACATTGGCAGAAATTACTTTCTTGGGTGCTATGCGGACGATACGGCATTAGCCGTAAAGTCTGCAAACGCACACCACGCAATCAAGAAATTACAGGAGCTTCTACCAGTGGTAGAAAAGTGGTGTACGACTTGGAGAATTGCTATTAATGCCAGCAAGTCGCAATTATTATTGATAAGGAGGAATTCTTATTCTCTGAAGAGATTCCTAGAGTTAGTAAGGTGAAATATTTAGGAGTAATGCTAAATGAAAGATTAAAATGGGGAGATCATATAACAGAGGTCAGAAGAAAAATTTTCACTGTTGTAAATAGTCTCATCCCTATATTGGGTAATTATTCTAGCTTAGACTTCAGGAAGAAGAGGCTAGTTTATATCACGGCAATTAGGCCATTGATGACTTATGCGTCGCCGGCCTGGTGCACGGCTACCAAGGAGGATATAAAAAGACTTCAAATCATGCAAAACAAAGTCTTAAGGCTTATCACCCATGCTCACTTTTTTGTGAGCAATGCTACACACTGCACTGTGACTTAAAACTGGACACTCTAGAAGAGCACCTAATAAGATCAACAGGAAATTCTTCACGAAAGCTCTGAACTGTGACCATATGAGAAATTTTGATATCTTTACCTACGAATATTGAATGAGGACGCCAAACTGCGCCCACTTGCGGCCACCTTATCAGGGACCCGAACTTTCCCACCCTAGTGCCCACCTGTAAATAATGTACCCAATGTGTTTATTAGCATTCTTAATTTTTGTATCTTACTCATTTATTGTACTTCACATTCTACACTCATTTTATGACTCCCACTTAGTCACGCCTTTACCGGGCCGGTTACTTGCTAGTGAGCTCTTGCGTTGCTGGTCTTCCTATTCTTTATCCGTCTTTCTCCTCCTTACTGCGGACATTATGTGAAGATAGTTCTATGTTATTGTGCCCATCCGGCATAAATTTCATTGAGCCAGATAAACTACTGATCTCAGTGGTATTCTGGCTATAAGTTATCAGTCAGTCAGTCAGTGATCTGAACTGAACTGAACTTTCACGTTAAGATCATACTTCATAGGATCATTTCTATAGTATGATTAGCGAGTTCACTCAACGAACTTCGCAAAAATCCCAACTACGATGATGTGAGAAGGGATCTTTTCCTGAGCGTGAAGCGGATTCGGTTGAAAGTTTCTGCTTTCAGTGAGTCATTGATGATCGCACCTTTAGCTATTGTAGCAAAAGGAAGGAAGAGATTCGTTCTGAGTGTTCATTTAACCGCAGAAGAAATGTATAATTTCTAACAGTTACAGATTAATCGTTTTTAATTTCTAGTATATTTCTGCTTATTGTTAACGTCGCAGAGAGGATCTTGCGATCAGTAGAAATTTCATAGAGGCCGACGAAATCACGAAAGAATAATTTTCTTCATTATTGGCAGGCCTGGAGTATAAGTTGTCCTTGCTTCTAATGCCATGTTCTTCTGGAACTTCTTTAGGTTTTAGGATTCATTAATGAGCCGGATACGTAGTGTAACATCAGTGTTATCCCCACAATAATTTCTCTGATTGATCGATATAAATATAAAATTATCCAGCGGTAAAATTACAAAGAAAACGTATAGTGTATAATACGAGTATCATTCCCTAAATTTCGTCCAATTGAAGTGTGATGAAAGCGGAATTTTTACATAAGGAGAGAACGGCAAATTCGTTCTCTGCCATGTATTAACGAAGTTTTAGATGAATGTACGTGTAGGAATAACAGGCAGCAGAATAGAATTTAAAATTTTCCAATGAAATCGTGCATGTAAAATTGAGACGGGAAGCGCGTTATCAATTTAGTACAATTAATAGGTATGGTGTGTGTGTATTTAATTATGGCAAAGCACACTAGGGCTATTTGCCTAAGGGGAGGGATGCCTTCGTGGAGGACTTTCTAAGGGACACTGTCTCGTATACACGTTCCACATGGGGAAAACTACGAAAACGCCCATGCAACCAGCCCGTTCGCGGGATTCAAACCTCGGACCGAACTACCAATGTTCAGCGACTTTGGGGCTCAACCACTGGTGGGCCCACCATTAATAGGTAAGCCTGACTTAAAAAGAAATAATGATATATACAACCTCCTACGGGTTAGTCAAATAACGCAGAACTGCCCAACATGAACCAGTTTCTTCATTGAAACTTTCGCTCTGGGAGCGCTAGCCATGAAAAAATAATTTGAAATATTTGGTATTATTTTGAATATTTTTAATGTTGCGTTTACTCTTCAAAGCTCTAAATCTGCATTATTTAAAATTTTATTTTTTATTTTTCTAAAAAATTATTCTATAATATTTCAAAAGAAAAAAAAAAAAACACTACCTAAAATTAAATCTCTTTTAGAAATACGTTTTCTCTTATGTATTAGAAACAGATATGCAGAATTTAGATTATAGTTTATTAATTTGTTAATTACTCATTTAATTAAATTATTTTGTTGGACAGGACAACTGATAGGAATAAGATGAAAATTTTGTGCTGAAATAGTTTATGTTCTGAAGCTACCTATATATATATATATATAAAACTTCATACTATATAAATAATTTAAAAGTAAAACATATGCTCTAAATTACCCTTAAATTAGAATAAATAGCCGTAATGAGTGCAATTCAAAATAGCGTATGTGCAAACAGGAATCAAAATCAATCAAGTAGCTGACGTTCATAAAAAAAACAGAATGGGATAACTTGAAATTTCATGCTTTCTTTCTAAACAAAAATATTTTTATAGAAAGAAATGTATAATTTCTGACTAATACAGATTGATCGGTTTTAAATTTTACATATAAGAAGACAATATTCGTTTCTAGTACATTTGTGCTGGTAGAGAGTGAATCGCGTCATGGACGCAGAGAGTGACGGTCGACTGGCTCGACCTCTGAGCTCCACAGCGACTTTGTTGGAAACACGAATTCGGCGCCGCCAGTGAGCAATTATACTTCGTCTGATATCAACCAGCTATTACATGCTACAACTTCTATTACCGATATGGACACTACTGCACTACCTCAGCGATTTACTTCACCGAGGATTTCTCGAGAAATGCGATTCAAATTTATGCTCTCAAAAATCGTCATACTGATCTGATGTTCGACATTCATTGTCTGATGAGAACCGAGAATACAAACAAGGAGGCCATGCTCAAGCAACTGAACCAAGAGGGTGAGAAACTTCTGTTTTCCTTGCAAACTTTGTGTACGAGCCTTAACTTAAACATTTTTGAAATTCCTGCCACTGAAGAAGAATTCCTCAAAATTTGTACATCCCACCAGACCAAAAATTCGGATACCAAAAACCCTGTTTTTCAAAATTCTGAAATTACCAATAATTCACCCAAGCCTAGCCTTCTAAGAATACTCAAAACGGACTCGCCCGGTCGACTCAGACGGGTTTTCTATTCCATCCAAACATCTTATCGCCAAAAAAATCCAATCAAATAACCAAATTAATGTCAATAATAACTTGTCTAGCACTTCTAATTCATTTAATAATATTCAGCACACCACAGAGACCATAGAACCACACACCCAGCAGCCAGCTGTCAATCAAGAGCCAAAAATTCAGGCTCCACCCCCTGTATTCATCAAACTAAGAGCTGGACCGTGGACCGTGGGGGATGAACCGGCGTGTGGGGGATGAACAGGTGCGATTGAAAATGTGCCCTAAGGCGATGGTAAAATTTTTTGAAATGCAAGCGTAAAAACGCATCCAAAGAAAGTTCGTAAAAGAGCTCAGTTGAAAAATTTCGTCATATGCAGAAATGTCATCAATGTGTCGTGAAAAGAGATTCGTCGAGGCCAGTCACGTGAGTGGTCACCCACTCAAGTACTGCCCCGCTTGAACCGCTTGAAAAATAAGTTGTCGCGTAGCAAAGATTGGGAAAGCGAATCTTTCTGTAGGTGAGGAGCTTGAATTAATCTTCAGTTTCGGCTATTTGCATTAAATATTGAAAGATCTGAAAACCTATTTTCAGTTTTTCTGTGGTGCTTTTGGCGTTTCTTAGTTTTAATATTTGTAGCATCAGATTTTGTATATGACCAACGATCCCTGCGTCTCGGGAGGTAGACTGTATATTTTTAAAGGCGGCGTTAGAATTATTTTATTCTTCAGGATGTTACTATAGCTTGACTTTTTATTGGAAAATGTTGCAGTGGGTTGTGTGCTATTCGGAAACAGGAAGCTTTCTTCGTCTTTTACAGGTGCATGCGTTCGCGTAAGATTTGAAGTATCCGGTACGGGATTTTTTCTGATGTTTCTTCTTTTAATTTCTGCTATTTGATTTTGGTATTCAGTACATCCAGTGAACCAGCTTACGTGATTTAATTTGCAAAAGACACATTTGGGGGAGTCAGTTTTCTTTAAGTTGTATTCATTAGTTCTGTGATTAAGACCGCATTTACAGCAGCGTATTGGATGATGGCATCTGTGCTGGGTATGCCCGTACCGCTGGCACCTAAAGCACTGGGTAGGGCGGTTTCCATTATTTCTGTATTTTTCAATTCTTACGTTAAAACTGAATATGTTGTTTACGTTGTAAATAGCATTACCTTCTGCTGAGTTATCAAGTTCTGCAAAGTGTATGGGTAATTTTTCTAAAAGGTCACCGTTTCTTCTATTAAGTTGCTTAATTTTTCTCACTGGGTAATTCCTGTCCGTTAAATCTTCAAATATAGTCTCGGCAGTTATCATTTCTGCGATTCCCTTAATAACTACTTTCGTGGTTTTTTGATGATCAAATAGGTATGTGTGGTAGTTACGCTTACGTTTATCAAATATTTCGGTGATGATTCTAAAGTCTTCTGCATTTTTTGGGTAAATAAAAATTGAGTTTCTTTTAAGTTGTGATTCGTATTCTTCGCTGCAAATTGATTTTAATTCATGATCGAGTTCTAGCCAATTTAGGTTTTCTTTAGTGATGACAATGGGTGGGATCTTGTTTCCTGTAGCCTGGGTGACGTTATCGGTGCGATTATCAACTGAAATTTCTGATTGTAATTTTCGAATCTATTACTTTGAGTGATATCTGATCTCGTATCATTATCTTCGTTTACTTTTGCACATTTCCTCGGAATTGTCCATTCGGACGAATTTTCTGACTGTTCTGGGTTATTTGGTTCCGGGTTATCTGGTTTTTTACTGCTTTCTTCAATACCCTTCATAAGGTTTGCGAAGATTTTCTTAAGTTTCTCGTTTTTCTCGATTATTGATTTACCTTAAGGGAGGTTTTCTGCTTTTTGTTTCTGCGAGAATGTCTATATCTGATATAATCTTCGATTTCGGCCTCGTGTATCTCCTTAAATTTGGATTACTAATTGAGCAGGGTTCATTTTCCCCGTAGATTGAGTTAAATGCCGAAATTGCATTAATGAAGATATCTTGATTTTCACGATTGTTAAGTTCTCTGTTCATTGGTATGTCAGAATTTTCCCTAAGTCCATCGAGCAATTTGTCCGTCCTGGTTTTATCGGGAGGTTATTTTGTTAACGACATGTTGATCGAGATTGCAGCTGAATAAGAAAAGTATACTCACAGAGCAATTCAGGTTGGCTACCTTCTCCTACCGAAGCTGTCAGCCGAATCCACTTACCAGGACTAAGAGCTGACTGATATTTTCTCTTAACCCAGCTCAAAAGACACGCTACTTCTGTCCAGTCAAAACAGGACATTGATTTCTTAAGACTCACTACTGCTAATGAAGCAGACTACAGAGCAGCAGTTAGATTTCTAACTGATAATCGTATAGAATTCAAATCTCACACACTCAAGTCACTCTTTTACTTGCAAATTTTTAACAGCCTTAAAGCCGATGAAATTTACAGGGCGACTGAACTACTAGGCACCGAGGTAGCCATTGAACACTTCAAGGGACCATCCCAGTGCTGGCGTTGCCAGGTCTTCTTTCACTCTTCAGAGGTCTGTACTCTACCAAGACGCTGTCTTCGATGTGCAGATCCCCACCAGGCCAAAGATTGCACAAAACTCTATGATGAACTCATGAAGTGTGCCAAATGCCAAGGACAGCATGCTGCGAACTGGCGATCCTGTCCTAGATTTCCTGGATCTAAGAAGAACTCTCCAGCTAAACCAAGTATCCAAACCTAGTCCGACCATTGAACACTCACACTAACATCAATACTGATAGTCATAAAGCTTTTCCTACACTACCGAATGCACCCATACCCAGTGCAAATAATATTCGCCCTGGAATTTCGTTCTCCTCT